GCTATATCTATACTAACCCTACACAGTGGCTTTTACTAGTAGTTTAAGTGGGAAATAAGATTGTTCTCCCTCTTTATTTGAGAAATAAATCGTTTTTTTAGATAAAAATTGGGAAAATTTAGATTTAGAAATTAGTTGAATTAACAGTGTTTGCTTAAAATGAATTACACTGTCATAGTATTACTTTTAAATGGTAGTATTATTACTTTTATTTTGATTAATCTTATAATTCAGTACACTGTTTTCATTTATATACATCTAAAATGTTGCACTTGAATTAAAATTGTTGTTTGTAACCAGTGTAATAAAACATATAATTTAACAGACTCAGAACCCAGAATGCTCAGCTACATAATTTATATTGAACTATTTTCAAATGATTTGATTGACTATGACTTAATTCCCTTTGAAATATTACATTATGTGTGTAACATATTTCTCTTCAAATCCAAATACAGATTACAACTATTTAGAACTTTACACTATTCATTTTTATTTAATATTACTCCTGAAATAGCCAAACATGGCTTGTTTTCTGTGAAACAGAGGACATGGCCTCCCCTTTTAGTGAAATGGAACATGACCGAAACCCAAGGCCAAACTCCACAGACAGATTAGTCATATTGGGTCATCTAAACTCCAATCAGGACATTAATCTTTAAAGTCTACGTGGCTTCAAACAGGATGAAAATCTAAAACAAATAAAAGCAAACAGGAAGCCTGAGTGTCACTCTGCTCCAGCATTTACAAAACAGAGTTACGTCACCAGGAGCTTTTTCATTACACACTCAGGTTCTTCTCGCTGCATTGGCTCAGATTTCATTATCTAATAGATGGGCCACCCGTTGGACTCAGTTTCTTTTATTTATAAATGGAAAACGTTAGTTCCCATACCGGGAGTCGAACCCGGGCCGCCTGGGTGAAAACCAGGAATCCTAACCGCTAGACCATATGGGACTGGTGATCAGAAACAGTCCCCAGTGAAGAAAAAAAACAAAAAAGCTCCGTCTATAATGTATGAACTCACCTGGATCTTTGTCTGACCCTTACAAAATGCATAAACAACGCAAACAAAATGAAAAAAATACACGTTTTATCAATGAAATTCAAACATTTTTGCTGCACATTTTTGATGTCAACAAAAATAAAAAGGAAAACTTTTTAGATTTTTTCATATACTTTTTTAAAAAAGTTTTTAATATACATTTTCTGACCCTTACAAAATGCATAAAAAACACAAAAACAAAGAAAAAAGACACTTTTTTAAAATGAAATTCAATCACTGTTTGCTGCACATTTTTTATGTCAACAAAAATAAAAGGAAAACTTTTTATATTTTTTCATATACTTTTTAAACAAGTTTTTAATATACATTATCTGACCCTTACAAAATGCATAAAAAAACACAAAAACAAAGAAAAAAGACACTTTTTAAAAATGAAATCCAATCACTGTTTGCTGCACATAATTTATGTGAACAAAAATAAAAAGGAAAACTTTTTATATTTTTTCATTAAATTTTAAAAAAGAGTTTTAATATACATTTATAATATACTAATAAACTTCTATTTTTAACATTTTATAAGCAAAGCTGCGCATGATAAGGCAATAGATCTCAGACATGCGCGTGCACACTGATGCGTTAAAGGGTCAGAGACCGGACTTCCTCTTGTCCGGTTCCCTGATCCCACCTGCCGCAGGAACAGCGGTAAAAACAGTAAAAACACCTCTCAGAGCCTAATCTCCGGGATAAAGGTGGTTTAGGATGGCCTCTCCCGGGAAACGGGCGCGTGACGGTGCGCGCGCAGGTTCCAGCGCGCGCCATAAAAGCTGCGCGCGCCACAGGTGAGTCTGACAGGTGAGTCTGGGGATGTTTTCTGACCTCCACAGGATGGCGGCCCGGCTCTGGAAGCTGCCCCGGATAGTGAGCCTGTTTCTGGGATTCACCCTCCTCATCTGGTCCCGGACCCCCGCAGGTAAAGCAGAGTTTTTCAACCTTTTTTCAGCCAAGGTACTTTTTTTCATTGGAAAAATCACGAGGCACACCACCAACCAAAAATGTTACAAATCTATAGTAACACTATAGTTATTCTTATTTTATTCTTATCTTATCTTAAGTGTCTTGAATAGAAATAAAATAAACAAACATGTATTTTTATCATATTTCTTCTTTCAAATTGCAGGTTAGAGCAGTGTTTTTCAACCTTTTTTGTATCCGCCTATAGTAACGCTATAGTTATTCTTATTTTATTCTTATCTTATCTTAAGTGTCTTGAATAGGAATCAAGTAAACAAAAATGTATTTTTATCATATTTTATATTTCTTCTTTCAAATTGGACTTAACATGTCCACTTTAATATACAAAATGATATACAAAATCTAGTCATAAGGAATTATTACATGATTACTCCACCAGTCACTAGAACAGCACACACACTCAGAAATGGAATATTATTTGCAGATAATTAATTCCTTATCAAAAAGTCTTTTTAAACCAATGAGGTGAAATAGGATGATTTTCTACACCTGACCATCACTAACGGCACACTAGTGTACCGAGGACCAGGGGTTGAAAAACACTT